TTGTATGGGGTGGTCGGGTGACTGACTGCTCCTAGTACTGTAGCAAAATGACTAGTCCTTATTAGGGACTTGAAAAGGAATATTATGGTGGCGTGTGTGCTGCTTCACGAGCAATTGGTCCGAGGTAAACTTGGACTCGCTAACCGATGTGTCCTAGACATATCATCTTAGTGCCGGTGGTAAGCGGGTTTGTTGTAGCAATACGGCTTTCCCGTGGACATCGCACACCCATACCGTTTGTGGGCGGCGTAGTAGCGCATAGCGATGCGTCGTCTATATTTCGGATTATTATGATGAGTGTGTTTGGTAGCACTTTTAAGTGTAACAGGCATACTCAACTTCATGTCTTAGTGCATTAGCGCTATGATACGTGGAGTTTTGTTCATTGGCGTCTTAGTAGCGTGCTACTATGATACGTTGGTGATAATTTTTATATAACAACAATACAAACTTTGTTACCAAAGTCGATAGGGATCATGTGGGTGTGTTGTGAGGGGGCGCCACCCGTATGATAGTTGCATTGATGCTTACTGCTACTTGCGGTATTGCGTCTTGTGATGGATCTGCGGGTGTGCTGCGCCTGATTCGACGCATTCTTGTGGTTCTGGTCGATGGAGGTATACAATTAACATCTTAGTGCCGATGGTAAGCGGGTTTGTTGTAGCAATACGGCTTTCCCGAGGACATCGCACACCCATACCGTTTGTGGGCGACGTCGTTGCGCATAGCGATGTGTCGTCTATCTTTCGGATTGGGATGATGAGTGTGTTTGGTAGCACTTTTAAGTGTAGCAGGCATACTCAACTTCATGTCTTAGTGCATTAGCGCTATGATACGTGGAGTTTTGTCCACTGGCGTCTTAGTAGTGTGCTACTATGATACGTTGGTGATAATTTTTATATAACAACAATACGAACTTTGTTACCAAAGTCGATAGGGATCATGTGGGTGTGTTGTGAGGGGGCGCCACCCGTATGATAGTTGCATTGATGCTTACTGCTACTTGCGGTATTGCGTCTTGTGATGGATCTGCGGGTGTGCTGCGCCTGATTCGACGCATTCTTGTGGTTCTGGTCGATGGAGGTATACAATTAACATCTTAGTGCCGATGGTAAGCGGGTTTGTTGTAGCAATACGGCTTTCCCGTGGACATCGCACACCCATACCGTTTGTGGGCGACGTCGTTGCGCATAGCGATGTGTCGTCTATCTTTCGGATTGGGATGATGAGTGTGTTTGGTAGCACTTTTAAGTGTAGCAGGCATACTCAACTTCATGTCTTAGTGCATTAGCGCTATGATACGTGGAGTTTTGTTCATTGGCGTCTTAGTAGCGTGCTACTATGATACGTTGGTGATATTTTTTATATAACAACAATAAAAACTTTGTTACCAAAATCGATAGGAGTCATGTGGGTGTGTTGTGAGGGGGCGCCACCCGTATGATTGTTGCGTTGATGCTTACTGCTACTTGCGGTATTGCGTCTTGTGATGGATCTGCGGGTGTGCTGCGCCTGATTCGACGCATTCTTGTGGTTCTGGTCGATGGAGGTATACAATTAACATCTTAGTGCTGGTGGTAAGCGGGTTTGTTGTAGCAATACGGCTTTCCCGTGGACATCGCACACCCATACCGTTTGTGAGCGACGTCGTTGCGCATAGCGATGTGTCGTCTATCTTTCGGATTGGGATGATGAGTGTGTTTGGTAGCACTTTTAAGTGTAACAGGCATACTCAACTTCATGTCTTAGTGCATTAGCGCTATGATACGTGGAGTTCTGTTCATTGGCGTCTTAGTAGCGTGCTACTATGATACGTTGGTGATATTTTTTATATAACAACAATACCAACTTTGTTACCAAAGTCGATAGGAGTCATGTGGATGTGTTGTGAGGGGGCGCCACCCGTATGATAGTTGCTTTGATGCTTACTGCTACTTGCGGTATTGCGTCTTGTGATGGATCTGCGGGTGTGCTGCGCCTGATTCGACGCTCTCTTGTGGTTCTGGTCGATGGAGGTATGCGGGTGGTGATGTCTGCTGGGATGTATGGGGGACCTTGGGATGGTGTAAGCCCGACGATAGTCGTATTGATGCTTGTTGCATTCTGCAGCATTGCGTCTCTGCGATGGTTGTTTGGTGGGACGCTATTCTCAATGGCGCTCTCTGCGTCTTGGTTTGACTCACACCTAAGTAGCTTTGCCCAAGTCGGGTCCCTTCATTGCGGGGCTGCAGACTGTCTGCCCTCCACGATGTTTTATATAACAACATAATATTATATCTCTGTAACTTTCCCACCTTTGAATGATTGAAGGCAACTTGTTGGTGGGTGAGACAAACATGATCGAAAATGCATTTACTCAACGTCAGTGACACAAACCCTTTCTGATGGCGAATTATTACTCTTATCTTATAACTGCCTTTTGGCTATATCTGCCGTTGTATTGGTTGGTGGAGCATATGTGTCGACCTCATGCGGGTGGTAGCTGGCGGGAGGATCTGAGGAGACTCTCAAGGCTGCGGCCGAAAGCCGCACAACGTGGGACCCCATTCCCTTGAGGTGAGCAGTAGACTCATGACACGCTCTGCGGCTAGTAGCCGTGCTGATCATGCAATTGGTGGTGATGCCATACACTTACATCACGTCTGCAGGAGCGGCGGTCTGGCAGGTGGTGGCGCTCACGGAGGGTTTACGGCCAGTGTGCCTATTTGCCTAAACCGTGTGACGTACATTCACTGTGGCTGGATTCGTTCGTATTCTGTTTGGCGTTTACACGCATTGACATGCGCGACTTCGGTCGGTGTTTGTGCTTACGCACTAGCAAGGGGCCAAGCCTCTTTTACTGGTTCGCCAGTTATTTTGCTGTGGACTACGGTCCAGTTCCCGAATTAGCTTTCCCTTTGGGGGGAGTGCATCAAAATGGTTGGCACTCACCGTGCACGGCGTGTGTGGGGCCGTGTACCTCCCCCTACATTTTTTTTTTAAATAAATGTAGGAGAGCGAAGCCCTTGTATCGGGTATTTTATATAAATATATTTTGAGCCTTTTCCGAGCGGGAAGGGATAATTAATAATGTAAACCTGATGCAAGTGGAATAGGGACGTTTTATGTTCTTAACCTTTTTCGAGCCCTGTCTTCGTGAACGGGGTTCACTTAGCTTATAAGGTACTACCAACAGCTTTCAATTGCTCTAGTGAATATTCTTTCTTCCAAAAGACACCTAAAAGAACTAAGTTACTAAATAAACACAACGTAAATAAGGGTCCTAACTAAGACGATCACGTCAAAAATATTACAAAGGGCCCATTATTAAACCTTTAGAAAGATCATTTAGAAAGATCTAAACATATTTTATTAATCTTGGTCACAAATATATATAATTATTATGAGAGGGGGGGAACCGTTACATAGTGTTCGCGTAAATTTAAGAAATCAGCCAATCCTTGTATACATTCACAATGCCAGTATTATTTATTATACTGCTAATTTCAAACAAAAAATTGTCTGTGGTTAAGCAGTGGCACAGAGATAGAAGTCGCATAGACTACTTAATTTTGGGTTGGTGATATCAATTAGTGTTCTTTTATCAATAGTCTCTGGGGTGTATTTCAAGGCAAAAAAGTTTTATTTTATACTAAGCATATGAGATATCTTTGTTTTAATGTGCAGTTGAAAGTGAAATACATCTTTTATTATAAACAAATATAAAAGTTTAATATTTACGGTCAAATTTTGACAAGTAGGCACGTGTAAAAGTTATAGCTCGTACATATTTTGTTGTTTTGTATTGGGTGAGAGAATATACGTGTAATTTTATCTCCAGCTGTCAACGTTACCCTAACTTTTACCTCATCAATCTTTCCTGTCTGTAAGGAGAAAGGTTCTTGGTTAGTATTGAAAGAAAGAGTAAATGATTTAAATAATGAAAACAAATAGTGATATTATTCCGTGTTTTTTTTTACGAAAAACACAAAAAAATATTTTGATTCACGCTACGTAGCAAGTAGTTAGGAGTTTTTTATTTAATTTTATAAGGGGTTTTTATATTGTTTCATATCATGTAATTCGTTTCATTGTTTGTGTAACATCTTTACGACACTAGAGAGATTCTTTCAGTAAAACTTACTTTCATAGTAAAAAAAAGGTATTCTGTCTAACGCATTGTCCATTTTGAACAAGAAGAAATAAAACAACATTTTTATTGTTTTATCACAGCTGAGTTTTCCTTTCTATATTATTTCACCTTTTGTTCCATTTTAAATAATATAATATATTTAGGATGAAAAACATTGTAAAATCTTTATTACGTAACTAAAATAAGTTATATAGGTATACTTTTCTTATAAAGTTACATGTTGAAGACTGTTAAAGTAAAGAAAAAAATGTAGACGCACGCACGTACTTTATATACATTGCTTCGTTGGCCTAGTGGTCGTAAACGCGATTTGCTGATAATGAGGTCTCGGGTTTAAATCCCGGGTCGAGCCAAAAATCAGTTATTGGGTTTTTTGTCAAGAAATTCTAAGTAGCAGCCCGGTGTCAAGAATTTGACGGTGTTTCCGTACCTCGGAAAGATTGTAAGGCCGTTGGTCGCATGTCTACGGTATCGTCGGATTAACGTTCATTCGGATTATGAGAGTTAGGGAATAGAGAGTGCATCTGTGCTTGCACATACACTCGGGCACCAAAATCTTGTCCTGCGCAGATTGCTAGTCTCCTTTGAGACTGGCCGCCGTGACCGAAGTTCGGTTTGGAGTAGATTATTATATTCTAGTATTTACGTGTAATATATTTTATAGAAGGGAGTTCACTATTTAGCTAAAAAAATACGATGTATGTTTAATCTAAGAAAACATTTAATAAGGCTATTATTAGGTTAGCATTAATAAATCTAGGAAAACATATAATTGTAATGTACATATATAATAATATTTAATTAATTAATTTTTTGCATAAAATAAAAAATGTGTTATTAACTAATACAGATTATATTGTTCTCATAGCAGGTGTGAGAGATGCTGTGGCGAGATACCCAGTTTTGGTGTTCGTCCATGGCGAAAGCTACGAGTGGAGCTCCGGTAATCCTTACGACGGCGCTGTGCTTGCTTCACAAGCGGGCTTAGTCGTAGTCACAATCAACTACAGATTGGGTATATTAGGTAAGTTACCACAAGCATCTTCCTTCTCTTAGTCATCACCAGAAACTGGAAAGCTCATTCGTGCTACAGTCGAAATATACTGTGTGGCTTAACAAATCCTAAGGGTGATCTTAGATCTACTCTATATTTTAGTGTTTTAATTTTCATAACAATGTCCTTTAGTCACTATGATGCCTTTCTGCGTCAAAGTCGTTGTATTTAAGACCGCTAGGCATGAGTGTCTTCCGTTGTAGAAATAATTTGTCCTAATTATCACACTTGCTAGGCGGATAGACAATCGCGGTAACAGATGTTTCGCATTTTTGACGAAGATCCCTGTCACCAATGTTGGTATTTTACGTCTGGCGTAAACGGATTGGTTACACCGCTATCTATCGAAAGCATATCAATATCTATCTGTCATATCCCATAGTAACTATAATGATAGCCATGGGATTAAGTAGGTTGATAGATTTTTTCAAATGGCATCAAATACCTTATGTACATATAAATTATATTATATTTTTTTGTGGTAAAGACACGCTGCAGCTATGTTATGGTTGTAGCACGAATTGGTCAGCTTGAGCGAGGAAGGACTACGCCCCCACAGAATACCAATATCAAATAACAGTTACAGCTATAGCATGGAAAATGTAGAAAACCGAAAATCTTTCTGAGAACAATGCACTCTATCTTAGTCCTCAGGGATGACAACGCATCTGAATTTTGTTCTGAATCGAGGATAGATGTATATAGGAAAAAGCATCCACCTACCATCAAGTGGACTATGAGCTCGTTGGTTACCCTTACTCTATAAAAATTGTGATTCGCGAACGTAAAAACAATATTATAGTTCAATTATTCCATTTCCACAAATGTACAGACGCAAATCAATCAATAATGACCTTTTTATTACACATCAAATTTCTATGATCACTGTATTGCATGTTCTACATCTACAAACCCCAACTCTTTAGTATTATGCGGCTTTATTAAGGAAATCAGGTTTTTGCGACGCATACCACTAAAAGATGTTTGCAGACGTAACCAGTTATATCGTGTAAGCATTTTTACGACATTATTTATGTATTTAATTTGGTTTCATCCTGTTTTATGAGAAAATATTTATTTATGTCCCTAATACTTCTAATATTATAATTGAACAACTCTTTTATGTCAGTTTGTTATAACCGTAGCAAAAGTTGGAATTGATGTTGTTGATATGTAATAGACTTATTTCCTGCTAAAGACTTAAACTCCTATACAACAAAGAACAGAAAATAGCAGTCTTCACATTTTCACGATAACAATCATCATATATTTTGCATAAATTCTTCGTCTCATCATCAATATCAACAACCCGTAAAAGTCGACGGCTCTACTTGAGCCTCATCAAATCGATTGTCGGTTCTTCTAGTTTCATAGCCGACCCTTTGCGACTTATACTGCTGATTTATTGGGCTTTGTCAGTAATTCTCGTTTTTCAGCGTAAAATCCTAACACGAAATTTATCCTTACTATAAATTATGAGAAAAGCCCGTATAGTGACTTTGATATTCCTAGTACGGCCAGCAATGAAGGACCACGTGTCGATTCCGTAAATTATCACTGACAACACGCACTGGTTGTGAACTTTCGCCTTACGGCTTAGAGGAAGATAAGACAAGAAATTTTGTCACAGTTTCCCGAGCGCAATCCAGCCGAGTTGTATTCGTCGATTGACTTCTTAGTCAAAATTGTATTTCAAACAAAAATTTCTTTCTTCTAAAAATTTTTTTCATCAAAACTCAACAACTGCAATACTAGGGGAATTCCATATGCGTTAGCAGCTTACCTGGCGTCGCGTTCCCAACAACTAGCGATATAGGAGATGCAAGCTGCCGCCGTGTTTGGCACTATAGGTCGGCCGATTGGGATAGGATGCAGTTTTTTTTGCATCCTACCCTTTAGGGCGGGTTTGCTTCTCACCGAAAGATCCCAGCGTTGTTGTTGATTCTGTCGCTGATGTGGTATTTCAGGGTATGAAACTTCATATTCCGTCCTCTGTGGTGTCCATCGAAGGGAGATCATAGCCATGGTTTGGTCGCTCCTGTAAAAGAGCATCACGCTATAAGCAGGAGTGCTACCGAGCCTGGGCTGACTAAACACCAGCGCTCTTAAAAAGAAGTATAATTCCGCCTCCATGTCCTTCAAAAGAGTCATTGCAAAGGCAAGGTCTAAACAAATCGGCATAAATGGCGAGAAGCTAGGTTGCCTTCCTTCGGAAACCCGTGCATTCTTCTATCTCGCTAAGGCAGTCAAAGAGAATAACTACCAGTCATCTTTTCCATCGCTGCACAGAGAGGATGACTCACTGGCCCATGTCGCAAAGGAGAAAGCCGATGCGTTAGGCTCTCTCTTTTCGTCCAACTCGACTTTCGATGACGAGGGGAAAGTTCATCATTCCAACTCGCGGCGTAGGTGCTCCATGCCGGATGTGGGGTTTTCACAGCGCTCGGTTTGCAAAGCCCTACCCTCCTTGTACGTCAGCAAGTTAAGTGGGTCTGATGGAGTCCCTCTCATTGTGCTGAAAAGGTGTGCTCCAGAGTTTGCACCGATTTTAACACGTCTTTTCCGGTACTCCTACTCCCAAGGCATAGTCCCAAATAGAAGATAGAAGACAGCTTTGGTCCACCCAATCCTTAAAAAGCCACTCAGACCCGTCAATTAGCTGGTGATCTTTCGTGTACCTGAATGCTCAAAATGCGGAAAATGCTCAAAATATATTTATACAAAATACCCGATACAAGGGCTTCGCTCTCCTACATTTATTAAAAAAATGTAGGGGGGGCACACGGCTCCACACACGCCGTGCACGGTGAGCGCCAACCATTTTGATGCATTCCCCCCCGAAGGGAAAGCTAATTCGGGAACTGGACCGTAGTCCACAGCAAAATAACTGGCGAACCAGTAAAAGAGGCTTGGCCCCTTGCTAGTGCGTAAGCACAAACATCGACCGAAGTCGCGCATGTCAATGCGTGTAAACGCCAAACAGAATACGAACGAATCCAGCCACAGTGAATGTACGTCACACGGTTTAGGCAAATAGGCACACTGGCCGTAAACCCTCCGTGAGCGCCACCACTTGCCAGACCGATGCTCCTGCAGACGTGATGTAAGTGTATGGCATCACCACCAATTGCATGATCAGCACGGCTACTAGCCACAGAGCGTGTCATGAGTCTACCGCTCACCTCAAGGGAATGGGGTCCCACGTTGTGCGGCTTTCGGCCGCAGCCTTGAGAGTCTCCTCAGATACTCCCGCCAGCTACCATCCGCATGAGGTTGACACATATGCTCCACCAACCAATACAACGGCAGATATAACCAAAAGGCAGTTATAAGATAAGAGTAATAATTCGCCATCAGAAAGAGTTTGTGTCACTGACGTTGAGTAAATGCATTTTCGATCAAGTTTGTCTCACCGACCAACAAGTTGCCTTCAATCATTCAAAGGTGGGAAATTTACAGAGATATAATATTATGTTGTTATATAAAACATTGTGGAGGGCAGACAGTCTGCAGCCCGTAATGAAGGGACCCGACTTGGGCAAAGCTACTCAGGCGTGAGTCAAACCAAGACGCAGAGAGCGCCATTGAGAATAGCGTCCCACCAAACAACCATCGCAAAGTCGCAACGCTGCAGAACGCAACAAGCATCAATACGACTATCGTCGGGCTTACACCATCCCAAGGTCCTCCATAAATCCCAGCAGACATCACGACCCGCATACCTCCATCGACCAGAACCACAAGAGTGCGTCGAATCAGGCGCAGCACACCCGCAGATCCATCACAAGACGCAATACCGCAAGTAGCAGTAAGCATCAATGCAACTATCATACGGATGGCGCCCCCTCACAACACACCCACATGACCCCTATCGATTTTGGTAACAAAGTTTTTATTGTTGTTATATAAAAAATATCACCAACGTATCATAGTAGCACGCTACTAAGACGCCAATGAACAAAACTCCACGTATCATAGCGCTAATGCACTAAGACATGAAGTTGAGTATGCCTGTTACATTTAAAAGTGCTGCCAAACACACACATCATCCCAATCTGGGAGGTAGATGACGCATCGCTATGCGCTACGACGTCGCCCACAAACGGTAGGGGTGTGCGATGTCCACGGGAAAGCCGTATTGCTACAACAAACCCGTTTATCACCGGCACAAGGATGTTAATTGTATACTCCATCGACCAGAACCACAAGAATGCGTCGAATCAGGCGCAGCACACCCGCAGATCCATCACAAGCCGCAATACCGCAAGTAGCAGTAAGCATCAATGCAACTATCATACGGGTGGCGCCCCCGCACAACACATCCACATGATCCTATCGATTTTGGTAACAAAGTTCGTATTGTTGTTATATAAAAAATATCACCAACGTACCATAGTAGCACGCTACTAAGACGCCAATGAACAGAACTCCACGTATCATAGCGCTAATGCACTAAGACATGAAGTTGAGTATGCCTGTTACACTTAAAAGTGTTACCAAACACACTCTTCATCCCCATCCGAAAGATAGACGACGCATCGCTATGCGCTACTACGCCGCCCACAAACGGTATGGGTGTGCGATGTCCACGGGGAAGCCGTATTGCTACAACAAACTCGCTGACCACCGGCACTAAGATGTTAATGGTATACCTCCATCGACCAGAACCAAAATAATGCGTCGAATCAGGCGCAGCACACCCGCAGATCCATCACAAGACGCAATATCGCAAGTAGCAGTAAGCATCAATGCAACTATCATACGGGTGGCGCCCCTTCACAACACACCCACATGACTCCTATCGACTTTGGTAACAAAGTTCGTATTGTTGTTATATAAAAAATATCACTAACATATCATAGTAGCACGCTACTAAGACGCCAATGAACAGAACTCCACGTATCATAGCGCTAATGCACTAAGACAAGAAGTTGAGTATGCCTGTTACACTTAAAAGTGCTACCAAATAC